GGGGCTGAAGACAGCAGGCCTCTATGGGGCTAGCCATCCCCACACGTGAAGTATTCCCTCCCCACCCCAGGCCAAGTGACAATAATGCCTGCTTATGCTGCCATCCTGTTAGGAGAATTAAAGGAATTTGACAAACATGATCTTAATTCAGGAATAAAACAGGCCTAATAATGATACACATTTACATTCCTATAGGCAATATGAATCCAGATCTGATAAGATATGACCCGTGAGTGATCATTGCTAGTATGCTGGCATTAATGGCATGATCTTTATTTTCACCCTTAAAATTATTACCTGCCATCATTAGTCTGCAGAGTGTGGCAAAAAAAGTCAAGGTGGTGGCTGCGATGGTGTGATGAAAGCTCCACCTGTTTTTTTAATATGTGCCACACATGTGCCACACACATAAACAACTGCCAGAATTCCAACTGCACTGTTCTGGCCATCATCTTGACTTCTTTCACCATACCCTGCGGACACCCCTGATCATTCCAATACTCCTGTTTAGAGGTAAGTAGTAGTGCTTATGTTGCCCAAATGGCACAATTTACACATAGGAAACTTGTACTGGCCAATGATGGAAATAAATGTGTTAATATAACGCTGAGGAAACAGGGGAAATCCTATGCATATTTACTCTTAAGACAGAACCTTCCTTTGTATACCATCCAAAGAGAAATCCTGTCAACCTGGGATGGGGGGATGTGGAGGGAACAGGTAGCCCTGGGGAGACAAAATAAATTAATGGAAGCACTCAAGACTGCAGCCTTTGTTGCAAATCCTAAGCACCATCTTTAAATTCTTTGATGTGAGATCCTCCTCACACAGGCACTGTGGATGTAAACAACCTGGGCGATCATTTTCCCAAGCATGGCAGGATCTATCTACCTTGAATGGCAGGACCTAGCTAGCTTATCAACAGCCTACCACTAACACAAAGTTTAAGGATTAAACTACAGGAAGAAGTCCACATAGTTCAAAGACTGCATCTGTTTTCTGAATTTTTAAAAAAAAATGAGCAGAAATTTGATTTTAAATTATGCTGGAGGCCAGATTTCACAAATATGTATCTCCAAGGAGTGACACAGACCAGAATAGCTGCATAGAGATGCGAAATAGGCTGCAAAACAGGAACTATGTAAATAATTTACTTTAATATGTTGGTCAAAAGTAGTAACCATCACTGCATCACTAAATCTACACTGAAACATGATTTATAAGTATTTTGATATGCTTGAATTTGGAATCTTTATCCTAAGTGATGGTCATTTTGGACTCTCACAAATTTTCCTGTACTACTGGACTCACATTAATAGTACATTAGGTCTGCACCAGTGTTCCAACACAGCTGTTGCCTAATGATTTCTATCTTAAGATAACGATCATGCCACTAATAAGTTACTTCTACTTCCTACCTAATAAGTTAATGCAATTTTATGCCACCAGAGTTTTGTGCTGTAACTCTCATCAGCCTTGGTCAGCATAGCCAATAACTCCTGGAGCATACCATCTTACCCAATTTTTTTTTGGGGGGGGGGGCTTACTATATTTTAACTTTTTGCCTCAAAAGAAAAAGGTACAGTGAATCCTGAGGCACAGCAGAATAATACTGATTTAGCAAAACCAGTTCCAGATAATTTTTGGGATTGCACTTGAACTCTGGATGCCTATTAAACAATGTTTTAGAGGAATATTTTTTCCCAGCAAAATGGTAGCCTAAAGTACAAAACATTTGAAATACTTTTGTAGGCAGTATTTATCATATCATAGAACAGATATTGGCCTTTGATTATGCATCAGCTTGGAGAAAGCTATAAACAATGTACTGAATGAACTGAGAACTTGAAATCCAAGAGGACAGTAAACACTTTTAAGAAGAATTTGGCAATCAGCCACCTGACTCAGCCTACTTCTCCCAGTTTTCTAGGACAGCAGTGAAGACGAAACGTACTACAGCAAGCCCACTACGCTGGAGATAGTTAGCTAATCATTTAGGAACTTCAGCTGGCAATTCTTTTTGCTGAATACATGCCTGTCCTGACCTTGCTTATTTTTCCTAGCTGAAGGAATTGCATAATATGACCATAGGCAATGATCTTAATGTACCAAGAACAAAGTTCATTGATCTTTTGGCACTGCTATATCAGAATTGGAAATGAGAGAAAAAAAGGAATACCGCACATTCAGTCCAATGTTAACTTTAGGCACCTTCAGAAACAAGGTGCTATTTTTCCCTGGAAAAATGCCCATTTCTCCCAAGAGCTTGTGTAGCTTTAAATACGTTATCATTACTGTTCATTTTATATATATTACACCCAAATGCCAGCAGCCAATAAATACTTTTCTTTAAAAAGGTAGAATTGTTAAATATTAACAAAAGTTATTTTTACCATATGTCTCATAGATGCATGGAAAAGCCTAACTAACTGGATTACAGGTAGTCCTGGACTTACGACAGCAATTGGGACCAGAATTTCCATCGCTAAGCGATGTGGTCGTAAAGCGTGACCACATCGCTTAGCGATGGCAATCCCTGCAGTCCCAGTTGCTCTCATTAACTGAATCTCAGAGTTAGGCAAGGCAACTTCCTGCTGGTTTCCTAGAACCAAAGTCAGTGGGGAAGTCAACAGAAAGTTGTAAGTTCCAGGCTGGCAGGCAGGTAAGTGGGTGCTGCTGGGTGAGGGAAGGAGTGAGGGGATGTGAGGGAGGGTCAGGGAAAGTGAGCGAGAGGCATGGGTCGGGGACGGTGTGCAAGGATGTGAGGGGGTGTGCACTGACTTTCTGGGGAAGCCAGCAGGGAAGGTTGCAAGTGGTGATCATGTGACTGTGGGGCGCTGCAACCGGTCGTCAGTGCGAACTGGTTGTCAAGTGCCCACATCGTGATCACGTGACTGCAGGGTGCTGGGATGGCTGGAACTCCGAGGCCTGGTTGTAACCACCATTTGTTCAGCACCATCGTAACTTCATAACTTGCTGAACAAATGGTCATAGGTCGAGGACTACCTATATAATTTCTCCTTCTGGGTACTACCATGCAGCTTGAATGAATAAAGTACTATAGTCATGAAATCCTCCATTCAGCTTCCAAAAGTAAGTAATACGGACACTCCAGCTCAATGACACAGTAGACACGATTCCCATGCAGACCTTCAAAGAAAGCTGGAAGCTGCTGATCAGCTTTCCTACCAGACGCTTCCTGATACCGCATAAGCATTCAACAGAAGTGAATGTTCTGAATTCACAACGCTTGGTTTTACAGACGTAAGGGAACGTGAGTCCATAAATATACCAGAACTTTTCTAAGCGTGGTAAAAGTGTATGCTGGCCTCTGTCAATCATTCTGCAATGCATAGTTCTCATCAGTCTGACCCAGGGATATCTGGAAGCACAACATGTCCGGTAACATAATCCCCAACATGGATATACTGTTATGTAAATGTGTGAATATAGTAACATATCTATATTCATCGTGCTAAACCTCTATGCTGAAAGAGAGATAAAGTAGCAGATTACATAATCTTCTTTGCATTCCCTTCCCCCACTCCCCACGTTTTGGAGTACCGGAAAATTCTGAATTACATACTTAAGATGCCAAAGTATCCTCCATCCTAGAAAAAGTTTAATCAAAGATGTGCAAGTTCTGTAACATACTAGTGTTGATTCCATTGCTTCACCAAAAAGGATCGCCTAGAAAAACTCCCAACTCTCTCCTTCATGATATCAGAGGATCCCTAAGGAGACCGCCACCTGTTACAGAACGTGGTTAATTCATGCTACTGACCAGCTGACCCAGCTGAAACACACAAACTCTGAAAGTTAGAAATAAATGAATGAAGCAACAAATGGCTAATGGCCCATAACGAATAACCTCAGTACTAGCTTCATTATATATTATGCAAAAGAAACTGCACTAGGTAACAGTTAGTGTTACTAATTCAATGCAAGCTCATTTCATGCTGAGAGTCATTTCAGTGTAGTGGTTTAGGCACTGGGCTAGAAACCAGGAGACTCTGCGTTCTAGTCCTGCCTTAAACACAAATCCAGCTGGGTGACTTTCAGCTAATTTTTCTGTTAGCCATAGGAAAAGGGTAATGGCAGACCATTTCTGAAAAATCTTGCCAAGAAAACTGTAGGGACTTGTCCATGTACTCCTGATGAATCAAGACTGATTTAAGGCACATCTCTGCTCGCTTGCATGCGCGCACATGCACAGAGAGAGAGAGAGAAACAAGCATTAGACCGCAGAGGTTAAAATACAGGTTGGTCCACTCCATTGATATTAGGCCTTATCGAACAATCAGGCAATAAATAACAAACCGGGAAGAAAATAATGCTGAGACACAGAGGGCAAAAATCCTCTTGGGGGTATATTGAGATAGAGTTCACCTTCTAAAACACTGCTGGCTATGCATTTCAGATGTAGAAACAGGACGAGCCATCTCGAACAGAAAAAATAAAGAAAAGCTTTTCACAACTTAAAATATATTTTTAAAATGAAAGAAACGAGCACTTTGCATTTATACTCTCGAAATGTGCAGCCTTTAGAACTCTTTAAATATGAAATAAATTTGAGAACTTGCAACACAGCTTAGGTATCATCACCTAAGAAAGGGAACTTAACGAGATGAGCTGATATCTCAGCCAGAGCTAAAAGACTGCTGGACAGGAATGGGTAAAAAGATCGGATCTGCCAAACTGGTTATGTGCATCGCCTGCCCCTAACACAAAGCTTAAGCATTAAACTACAGGAAGAAATTCACAAAGTTCAAAGACACGCAAGAATATGCTTCATGACAGATGGGGCAGATGACTGGATTCAGAACAAAGTGGGAAGAAATAGTGATGGAGGCCAGATTTCACAAATATGTATCTCCAAGGAGTAACTGACCAGAATAGCTGCATAGAGACGCAAAATAGGCTGTGAAATGGGAACTGTGTAAATAAATGTGTTCAATATCTGGGTTGAACAGGGGTACCAAAATCAAACACACCGGAATGCATATAAATCATGTTTTCAGGGTAGATCTAGTGATTTTTCAATGTGGGGGGGGGTTACCCACCTTGCCCACTCAAGAGTTATCATTCTTCTTTTTGGCTTACTATATTTTAACTTTTTGCTTCAAAAGAAAAAAAGATTCAGCGCATCCTGAGTTACAGCAGTATGATCCTGCTTTAGCAAAACCAGTTCCAGATAATTTTTTGGATTGACCTTGAACTCTGGATGCCTGTTAAACAACATTTTAGACAAATACTATTTCCCAGCAAACAGGTGGCCTAAAGTATAAAATATTTAAAACACCTTTGGGGGCAGTATTTATCATATCATAGAACAGACATTGGCCTTTGATTATGCATCAGCCCGGAGAAAGCTGTAAACAAGGTACTGAATCCAAAGGAGTGTAAACACTGATGAAGAAATACTTGGCAATGGGCCACCTGACTCAGCCTGTTTCTTCTCGCAGTGAAGACAAAACGTACTATAGTAAAGCCACTTTTCTGGAAATAGAGTTTCGACATCTGAAATGCATAGCCAGCATTGAGAAGGTGAACTCTATCTCCATATCCACCCATTAGGATTTTTGCCCTCTGGGTCTCAGCATTATTTTCTTCTAGTTTGTTATTTCTTTCTTTCTCTGGAAATTCTTTTTGCTTAATACATGCCTGTTCTGGCCTTGGTTATTCTTCTGAGCCGAAGGAATTGCATAACATGATCACAGGCAATGATCTTAACTTTGTTCATTGATCTTTTGGCACTGCTATATCAGAATTGGAAATGAGAGAGAAAAAGGAATACCGCACATTCAGTCCAATGTTAACTTTTAGGCACCTTCAGAAACAAAGTGTTATTTTTCCCTGGAAAAATGCCCATTTCTCCCAAGAGCTTGTGTAGTTTTAAATACGTTATCATTACTGTTCATTTTATATATATTATATCCAAATGCCAGCAGCCAATAATTACTTTTCTTTAAAAAGGTAGAATTGTTAACTACTAACAAAATTTATTTTTACCATATGTCTCATATACCCTGGAGATATTACATATCACTTTATGAATACAGGTAGTCCTTGTCTTATGTCCATTCGTTCAGTGACTGTTTGAACTTGTGATGGTGCTGAACGAGGGGGACTTATGACTGATCCTCCGAGTTCTGGCCATTGCAGTGTCCCCATGGTCATGTGATCATGATTTTTGACATTCCCTGCCAGCTTCCCAGAAGCAAAGTCAATGTCAGCAGGAAGTTGGAAGTCGTGGTCATATGAGGTCCTCACTTAACGACGGCAATGGGGACTGCTGTGTCGCTAAGTGACACAGTCATGTGATATTATGCTTTACAACCACATTGCTTAGCAACAGCACTGCCAGTCCCAATTGCTGTTGGTAACCGAGGGCTATCTGTAATTAACTGGATTATAATTTTCTCCTTCTGGGTACTACCATGCAGCTTGGATGAATAAAGTACTATAGTCATGAAATCCTCCATTCAACTTCCATGAAAGCAAGTAATATGGACACTCCACCCAATCATACAGTAGGCATGGTTCCCATGCAGACCTTCAAAGAAAGCTGGAAGCTGCTGACCAGTTTTCCTACTAGACGCTTCTTGATGCCACATAAGCATTCAACAGAAGTGAGTGTTCTGAACTCACAACCCTTGGTTTTACAGACATAAGGGAACATAAGTCCATGAATATACCAGAACTTTTCTAAGCATGGTAAAAGTGTGTGCTGGTCTCTCTCAACCATTCTGCAATGCATAATTCTCATCAGTCTGACCCAGGGTTCAACATGTTCAGTAACATAATCCACAAGATGGATGTACTGTACTGAAAAATTCTGGATTATATATTTAAGATGCCAAAGTATACTCCATCCTAGAAAAAGTGTTATCAAAGATGTGCAATTTCTGTAACACAATAGTGTTGATTCTACTGCTTCACCAAAGAGGGTTGCCTAGAAAAACTCCCAGCTCTCTCCTTCATGATATCAGAGAATCCCTGAGGAGACCATGGCCTGTTACAGAACATGGTTAATTCATACTACTGACCAGCTGACCCAGTTGATATTCATGAACCCTGAAAGTTAGTAATAAATGAAGCAACAAATGGCTAATGTTCCCTAACAGATAATCTCACCATCAGCTTTATTTTATATTATTCCAAAGAAACCGCACTGTATTATGTTTAGTGTGACTAATTTGATGTAAACTCATTTAATCTTAGCTTGCAGAGGCTAAAATGCAGGTTGGTCCTCTCTATCTATATAAGGCATTATAGAAGAACCATGCAATAGGTAATAAACTGGGAAGAAATAAAGCTGAGGCACAGGGACCAAAAAGTCTCTTTGGGGAAGTATTGAGATTTAGTATTGATTTAGAGTGCACCTTCTAAATAAGTGCTGGCTGTCCATTTCAATTGTGGAAAACAAAAGTGTGGAATATAAACTGAAAGACCAGAATTAAAACAAAAAAGTGAGAGGATTTTCCCAAGTTAAAATATATTTTTAAAAAGAAGAGATGGGTGCATTTAAAAATATTTGCTCAGCCTTTAAAAGTATTTATATATTTAACATATTTAGGTACTTGCAAAATAGCTTAGATGTCAACACCTTAACAAGGTTAACTTAGCAGGTACCAGTGATACCCCAGCCACTGACCAAAGACTGCTGCCTAATAACATGGAAGTCTAGCTTAGGACCAGAAGAATTTTGGCTTTAAACATGGCCTAGAAATATTATAAAAATATAAAACATATCACATCTTCTCGATGGCCACACCCATGTTATAATAAGCCATACATTGCTTACCATGAAGTATCATATAATTCCTCCTTGACTTCCTTAGCTAGTAGAAGAGGCAAAGCAAGCTATGATATTTCTTCCCATTATTTTTTTGAAGTAATATGAAATCTGGAGATTCTCATTTGTTCCACTCCTACTAGACATGCCTCCCCCTCATTTGATAGAAATGGCTTTATTTTATGCTAGGAAGTTGTATCTAAATAGCCTTAATATCATATACTTCTTGTGAGATTGGCGGCCATATAAACTTGATAGATAGATAGATAGATAGATAGATAGATAGATAGATAGATAGATAGATAGATAGATAGGCAGGCTGAGAGACACTATTCCTATGGCTACCATATCTGGTCTGCAAAAATCCATTTGACCACTGGCTGGCAACAAAGTTTTTGGATTTTTTGGAATCTCTAGTAGATGTTCAGATTTCTCTAACCTGGATAAGGAAGACCTAACATTGCAAGTATTTATCTGGATTAATTAAGTTATGTTTCTCTTGAAAGTCATTTAGCTATAAACCCTTGAATACTGACACTCTGTTTTTCCTGATTTGGAAGATTCCAAATATTCTTTCAGAGAGAGATGAATATCATTTGTTGATTATTCATTCAGACTGAAAAAAAAGAAGGTAGTTTATTCAGAAAATACTAAATTACACTGGCATAAAGATGCAAATAAACCAGGAGATAAAGGAACTTTTCATCACACAGTGACTCTTTGCCTTGTGTCTCCCTTTTTATTTTATCACCTCCCGGGCTGTTTCATTCTGGCTGCAGCTTCTGTTCTGTGATGTCATCATAAGCAACCAGATTGAACTAGCCAGGAACTTAACAAAAGCTGCAGGGCCTAAAAATTATCCTCAAATTGCAATTTGCTGGTGAGCCACATCAAAAGTAGAGCAGGAGGCTAAAAATCACTTGTATGTTACATACCAAAATATTAGCAAAAATAAAAAACCAGCAAGTTATGCTTCATGAAATAGTTGTCTGAGTGTCTAAAAGCTATAAGACAATTGCACTTACTGTATACAAATTCTCTTTATCAGTCTATGCCATAAGTATCGGGAAGAAATTTTTGTTAAGAGAGCATTTTCACGTTATGGTTCTTTAGAAATAGGAGCTGATGTTGTTTTCCAACTCCCTCTTTCTCTTCCTCTCCCCAAAGAAAATTACTAAATTACTATATGTATAAATTAATACCGTTAATCAAAAGCATTAGTACCATTAATACCATTCCAATCAAAAGCATTCTAATTGTTTTGAAAAAGCATTCTGTACTCAGTGAAGGAAGATGTTCTGAAACATAACTTTTTTTTTTTTGTAATTGTTTATGGACAGCCAAAAGGTAAAGATTCCCTGAAACTCACCTTAACTTCTAGTGACTCTAGAGAAACATCACTTTATAGAAGGGTTTGCAACTGTTCCCCCCCCCCCCCATTTCCAAAACTAAGCTACAGCCTTGTGATTTCCTGGCTGAGTTCCTATCCAAGTACACAAGGACAGGACATAGCTAGCTTTTCTGGCTAGATGTAGCTAGATGCAGCTAGCTACATAAGCCAGCATACCATAGGTACAACACCAGAAATGTATACACCAGAACGAATACATTGGATTGGGCTATTTGAATCCAATCTCTTAACAAAGACAGCGCTTTCTGGGCACCAATTTCTAAACAACAAATATTTAAAATATTCTCATTCTCCTTGACAACCCTTGAATGCATTTCATTAATATAACAATAAAACCATACCTAAAGCTGCGGAAGTGCTTCATATAACCATACAAGAAAGGTTAATACATTTCATAAATTATACTCAATTCACACTTGACCACACTATAGTACTTCGGTATTCTCTTTTAAATCTGCTTTAAAAGCTGTCATATTTTACTTTGAAAAACTTCTACCTGTGCATTCCTAAATGGATTTTTCTGCAACAGCCATCAATAGTTTAGAAGCATGGTACTGCATTTAGATATATTTATAAGAAGTTAACACTGAAGACTAACATGGTTGTTTCTGAATATTTATATTGGGAGACCTGAAGTCGCAATCAGATCTTGCCATGAGCATTTTAGAAAATTGCTCCTAGTACCAATGGGAAAATGTAACTTTCTTATAAACTGTAGATTACAAATAATGAAAGAAGGAGGTTTTAAATTTAGGTTTTTACAGTATCTATGTGGTTGCAAAGAGTCGAAACAAACTTGATGGCACATAACCCTAATCATAATTGGGTGAAAAGGACTTACATATATGGTCGTCCATCTTCAGAGGCCGTTGCAAACGGATGTTGGCAGGAATTGTTCTATTGATCAACTCATCAATACTCTAAAAATACAAGCATCAAAGCATCATCAGAATCACCAGCAAGTTTAGAGGTCCACTTCTTGCAAGACTCATAGTCAAAGACAAAGAGGCCAAAGTGAGGCATCGTAGGACATGAGTAGAGGCGGTTTGAGGAATTTTCAATAAACCTCTCACTAACAAAAGGGGATTTTGTGAAATTCAGTTCACATTCTTTCTCTCTCCCTTTCAAATACAAAGAGATCAACTGATGTGACACAGTAGGAAAAGATACTGATGTGATGATGATGTGAATCAGAAAGAGAAGGATTACGAGACAAAGCAAATCGATGCTGTTGAAGGGGGGAGTGCTAGAGCGACTGGAGGGAGGGAGGGGAGAGAGAGAGAGAGAGAGACGGAAAGAAAGAAAGAAAGAAAGAAAGAAAGAAAGAAAGAAAGAAAGAAAGAAAGAAAGAAAGAAAG